ACCCTCATGGTTTGTAATGACTGAGTGCACTTACAGAAATATAAGAATCCACAGTAGTCATCTCTGATTCATCTTCAAGCTCCAATTCCCCCCATACCCTTATCAATTCCACCCTCATCCCTTTCTGCTTCATTGCTAGATACTTCAACAGCATAGGGCTAAGTTTTCTTAATTTTACATTGGTTCACCACGTTAGTTTTTATGGCAAGAATGAATCTCAGCTTTTTGGTCATTTGTTTAGTATGGCTCCCACATTCTAATAGGTCATTTGTTTAGTATAGCTCCCACATTATTACAACCAACATACCTAGAGGTATTTGAATTGTATTTGTTTGCTCTTCTGTATGTTGGGCCATGCCTGAATAAATAAGCACTCCATACGCCCACCTCTTGGGCAGCTACACCATATTGGCCCTATCTCAGATCGCACCAGATTCTCAAATCCTCCTACATAATTTCTACCTGAGATCTACAGACTATGACTCATGTTTTTTATGGAATGGTCCCAGATCTGTGGCATCCCAGTTTCTTGCCATAAATAAAATTTAGCTATTTTTTTTTCGTTTTTTCTATGGCCACTTAGGGTGCGGCTTTATAGGTAAGAATGTAAGATTAGGATCTCTGTTCTTTTTTCGTTTATGATATGTTTTTTTTCTTTATTTCACATATCTTTTTATCCAATCTTCATCGCAATTTTTCATTTACTTCAAATACCCTTAAACTTATTATTGAAAACATTATCAATACAATTGGTTGAGAGATAAAGTGAACTTCCATTTATTTATTTATTTTAGAAATTTTAGTTGTGCAAGTTAAAGTATGCAATTTTCATAATAAGTTCCTTTCGATTGAACTAAAATTTCATGTAATCTCTTCAGGTGGAACTCATAGAAGGATTTATATACTACTTCCTCCGTTCTTTAATTCTTGCAACATTGTGAATTTTGCACTATTCACAGACCTTACTTTGACCACAATTTTCTACTGATATCTATAAACAAATTATTACGTATGAAATGTTATTGAATTCCTATCAATGTAAATTTCCAAAATATCAACTTTCTATAATGTTTACTAATACAAGATTAAATACTACCTCCGTCCCATTTATATTGGGACGGAAGAGGGTGGCACCGTTATTAAGAAAAGTGGGTTTGTGTGGTTGATATGAATTGATCAAGTAAGAATAAAGTAAGAATGATTTAGAGCCACACAAACTTTGCCAAATATGGTATGAGACAATTTAAGTGGGACTTCCCGAAAAGGTAAAACGGGACAATATAAATGGGACGGAGGGAGTATTATTTTCTAAGCGAAATCCAGATTTAAGCAATTAAAAAATCTTCCATTTTTCGAAAGCTTTTTACCAACTAATGAAGAATCAATAGACTGCCCAAGTCATCAATAATGATGGCAGGGCCTCAAATATATAAATCGAGTGCCATTATCCGTATTAGAGTAAGGCACGATTAACTTTCGTACCCACACATTTGTTGTATCAAGATTCTTGCATTTGACTCTTGATTTTTTCTTTCCCCATGATGGAATAGAGCATATTGGCTCACTAAACTGTCTGCGCTTCTTTTTTATGAAGAAGCAGTCGGTCCATGCAATTTTTGACGTGATTTTAACTATGGGTCGTCCGGAAACAATCTCTTTGTGCTCAATTATAGAAGAAGAGAGATCCCTAGGGATGGACTCGGTTCGGGCTAACGCTACTCTTTAGAACCGGCCCGGCCCGGGAAACAGGTGCCGGTTCCGGTTTGGGCCTAGGCCCGAGGGGTGATGCAGTTCCGGGCCCGGGTCATGCAAAACGCGAACCGGCCCAACCGGACCCGGTTCGGGCCTTTTTTATTTTTAGTTTTTGGTTTTTTTGGGTTTGGGTTGGGTTTAGTTGGGCTGGGCTGGGTGTTTCCAAGGGGTTTGGGGGTTGGGGAGGATAGGGGTGGTGGGGAATGAAATAAATGAGAAATCAAAAACCAAAAAAAAACAAATTGAACCGGAACCGGTCCGGCCCGGAACCGCCACCTACCCGGGCCGGTTCCGGTTCCCCATTCCCAAAAAAATGCCCGGCCGGGCCCAGGCCTGAACCGGAACCGGCCCGGCCCGGGTCCACCCCTAGGGATCCCTAATGGGCTGAAAGGGCCAAATGGGCTGAAACGGGTTGCATGGGCAAGGATATGCCAGATGGGCTGAAATGGACCGCATTGATCGAGCTTCGTACGGGAAATAAATTTTAAAGTCATATAATATTTTCAAAATTTGTATTGAGAAGAATTTAATAATATTTTCAAAAATTGCTAATACATTAGTAAAATAAATTATAATCAAAGTAGAGCATATGAATAATGTAAAATTTAACATAACGCAATTACTTAAGAACATAACTAATATTTAACAGAAAATAAAATTATGAACCACATCTCGACATCCCGTGCAACGCACGAGTAATTTGTAATTTTTTAATCTTGATGTGCTTTTGTTAAAAATAGTGTATGCATTGTTCTATCTTTATACAACACTTCTATATGTTCGCAAATCAATTTTTGCTTACTAATTGCATCCCGTGCGAAGCACGGGTGAAAAATCTAGTATCTTTAAAAAAAACTTCTAATCAAGAGTTTTCATATGTTAAGTTCCTTGAATAAATAAAACATGTTCGATCGGTTAACTCAACCTTAAATTCAAATAAATTATTACTACATTTATGAGTTAGCCTGATAATCATCCAAATAACCACTCAATCATGTTCATCCAAGTTTTTTACTAATTCAGCTAAATTCACAAATTTAATTTAGTGATGGCGGATGACGGCTTTACCTTCCTTACTTTGTGAGGAGCTTTCATCTGCTCGGTTTTGATTTGAGTATGTTGGCTCTATTCTTCCAAAATCAACGTGGTGACCGTGTTGCTCCTAAATTGACCTCGTTGACTATCTAGCTCCGAGAATTGACCTGCAAAATAATCACAAAAAAAAAACTAAAAGTATATTAGTGGCTCGAGACGCGTCAGACGCTGTCCTAAGGAATTATTTCCGGCGTACGGAAATTTCCCCCAAGATATAACGAGTCCTTCGGTACAAGACCGGTAACAGAACTAACGAGAAGAAATTAGTATATGAACCCAGCAATCAAATTATAAAAGTCTAAGTATTGTATAACCAGTTTGTAGGCGTGAAAAGAATTCCAAAAGAACACTCATTGTGTTGTTCATCTCCTTTCAATGTTCACGGCAGAATCAAAAGAAATATGACCAATACTTCGATTTTATATTGAGTAGCCCTTTCATTTTGTTTTCTCACTATTTCTCACTTAAGAGCATGCTTACAATATAGATATATATACACGTATCCTATGGACATCCAAAAGCCAGCAAGTCATCATAATTTAATGATAATTAATAATATTAATGTTTCTCACAAAGGCATTAAAGAAGAAATGCACCGGTTTCATTATGTTTTTAAGTGTTTGAATGTAAAATACAATTAATGAATTAAATTCATTTATATAATAAATTAAATGTAAAACTCTTATTCATTTGAAATATCGCCAAGATTTCCAACAGAGTAAAGGGTCAGTTTGGTCCTCGAAGTTGCAAAAAAGGGGTCAAATAAGTCCTTATATAGAAGATTTTGTCCGGACGTGCCATTTGAGGTGGCTCCCGGTAGAATTTTTTGATGCAATTTTTTGAGCATCTTATTCATTAAGTCTAGTTTACTCATACCAAATTTCAGCTAAAAATTCAATCGGGGAGACATTCAAATGAGTTCTTGAAGATAACTGCGCTTTTAACGGCACAGTTATCTTCAAGAATTCATTTGAATGTCTTCCCGATTGAATTTTCATCTAAAATTTGGTATGAGTAAACTAGACTTAATGAATAAGATGCTCAAAAAATTTAATCAAAAAATTCTACCGGGAGCCACCTCAAATGGCACGTCCGGAAAGAATTTTCTATATAAGGGCTTATTTAACTCTTTTTTTGTAACTTCGAGGACCAAACTGACTCTTATCCCGTTTTGATTTGTCTCTTTTTGGCATTGGACATGGGTATGATCATTATTTCATTCGATGACTTCAGGACTTTCGTCTACTTTTGATTCTTCAAGGAATTTCATTCCACTATTTTATACAACTTGTCCTCTTTCAAATGGAATACCAATTAAGTTTTAATTAACATCATTAAAATGGAAAATAATAACATAACAAGAAACTTTTTTACATGTACTAAACATGAAAGTAATTCTGATATCATGTTTAATTTTTTTCATCCTTAAATATAAACCATTATTTGCATTTTTTTTCTGATATTACTCTCTATGTATTTTATTAACATCCTGAAACAATTCCCCAATCCTTCAATTAGTAGAATTTGACTTGAGTAAGATACAACTGTCAAAATCAATTAAACTCAAATATCATGAATGGTCACTTACATATCCTAAAAACTTACTCCCAGGTTTTTTTGGAGTTTTTCTAAAAGTTGAAAAGACTTCTCTAGATTAATTGTTTGGAGTAAAAGCGGTAAGAGTTCCTAAAATTTACTCCTAAATATATACTCCGTCAGTCCCATTGGACTTTGCCAACTTTCCCTTTTTTGTTGTCCCAAAAAACTTTGTCACTTTCCTATTAAAGCAACTAATTTTTGGTTCTGCACATTTCTCTCTCCTCTACACAAATCTCAACCACACAATTTTTACTATTCTTATTTCTCACCTACTTTGCACTTGGCAAAGTTCACCGGGACGGAGGTAGTATATCATATACCTCAAAATATATTTCTAAGATTGTTTAGTATAATTGTTAAAACCGGTTTCCACTTGAGAATATTTCCAGCTTTCAACAGAAGAACAATGTTTCATAGTGTAACATGATATTCCTTTCTTTCTTTCATGTACGTAGGGGTAGTTTTTCATGTGTTCTTAATCATTGCAGAGGATTCTCAGTTCATTAATTACTTATCAAGTTTCTGAGTATATATTAGCTTGATTTTTGGAGTATATAGTAGGATCTAATGCAGAAAATCATTTACTCATCAATTCAATGAAAGATAAAGAGAATGATTATTGGTAATCAGGAGTTGTGATTTTTCCCGCTCTTTTTAAATATATATCACATATTTACAACATGCTATCTGCCCGAGATGGCAATCTCCGGAAGAAACTGAGAGGTGCAGAAGGAAACTTGGTCCTGAACTTAGGGTGCCTAAAATAATACATTCCTGCAATCAGAGCCATGATCTTAAAACGTGTCACATAAAGAGCTATTGCTGCAAACAAACAGAAAACAATGAAGAGACTGGTTGCTCTTGGATCTCTCCAACTCAGTAGATTTTGTAATCTCTCCCCTTGAGTTGCAATATCTCCAACCACACTCTGCACTCTTCCTGCCACACTTCGAAGCCGATCGTATCGCATCTTCACTGTAATCTCTTGCTTTGATGTAGGGAAAGTGTCAAACTCCTCATCCAGCTCTTCTGTATTAGCTGCTTCAGCCCATGACAGTTTTGTGTCCATGTGTGTAGGTTGTCTTGGTCTGAACCTAAAGTTCCAAATTCCTATAAGGAACATGTAAAGAAAGGCTGTGGGGAGTATCAACTCGGGGTAGCATATCAAGATGAATAAGAGGAGATGGACTAGTATGGTAGTCACCGGGTTTTTCCATTTACAAACTTCCTCAAGCCATTTGCTTATCGAGATAGCGCCCGAGAAGAGCGAAACTATTCTGAAAAAGTTTGCTTTGCTCCTCCTCATGCTCCACATATGTGAATCCACGTCTAGCATGTATTCCACAACTTCCCTCCCTAGAGGTGGTTCTGCTCTTGCAAGCCTACTTGCCACAATGTTAGTTGCCTGATACCTCAGGCTATCTAGTTGGTTAACAGTGAAGGGGTGGAGATAATGCATCTTTGGGAGCAAGGGGTGTGCATATAGATAAATTGTGTGGGCAAGAGATAAGCAAGTGAAGCGGAACGCCAACTGGAGCTCACCCGTTTTTTTCAGCCCTGATGGTTGCAGAACAAGAAGAGGGTATGACATTGTGTATATTTTATATGTTTCAAGTGTTGATAACCTTATCCTAACCTTCCCTATTTTAGAATCTTTTGCTGCTTTATCATTCCCTCCGAGATGACAGTTATCGAAGACCCCTATTGTGATGACTGTACACGGATCATAAACTTCCCAAGTGTATTGTTCATTCCATTTCGGGCTCAAGCTGTCAAGGATTGTTCTTGTTCTTACCCATTTAAGTCCATACTTTGCCACACAATAAGCATCTGTCGTTTTTCGTCCATCTTTTGTTTTCATACCCTGAACTCCTTGTGCACTAAGGATACCGACTTCAAGTATCCCTACAGGTTGCTTCCATAGTTGTCTAGCCGTTGGCCTTACATCACTAATGTACAATGTTGATTCGTCCAATACATGGTAACCTCCTTCAAGACACCCTCTGAGGTGTAGTCTTGTTGAGAATTTGTGTTCATGTCTCTTGTCTCCTTCCAGAAAACCAAACCCGTATTTTTCCAGGTTGAACCACCGGGAATCAACCGTGCGGTGATCTAGACGCTTCTCGAAAGTGCTAAGGGGAAGAGTTAGTCGTCCAACTTGGTCATCTTTTGAAGGAGTTTTGCTTTCGATTGTGATGACAAGTTTGTCCTCAAAAGGCTCCGCTGCTACGAAGAGTAGATCTTCATTCCAGAATGGGTTGGTTGTTTTTGTTGGACAGACTTTAGTCTTCAGTATCTGGTTTCCAACTTGAGCCTTCACAAATACCTGGGAATGTAAACATTTATTTTCAGTACTAAAGCATTTATATGCCATATTCATTCAATAGAATAGTTTTTTTTCAAGAAGTTTATAAGAGCAAAACAGTAATGACTAGGGATCAAAGGAGAGAGAATATGAAATGGTATAAAAAAAATATGAAAAATAAGAGTTTTTATCATATATAAAACTTGTCCAGTTAGGAAAATTGATGAAATAGTAAAAACCATTTGAGGAAGATACAGAGAAAATAAAAAACAATATTTTAAAGTTCCCTGATATGACAAACTTGCAAGAACATCTAGTAGTTTTTAAAGGTTCCTTTATTAGAATGAAAGAAGTAGGATGTACCTTTTGGTAAAAAAAAAAGTAAGAAGTACTTATTTATGAAATAAAACATATAGAGAAAATATAAAGTGTGTAATTTATCATAATCAAAGGATAAACTACTTTCAAGAGACCTGTGGGGGTTGGCTTTTGTCTTCGGGTTCAACGTCTTGTGCTTCGATGACATTGAGCCTCAGATACCACAATTTCGGAGAAACGAACACCTTTGACCGAACGCTGTAAACGCCTTCTCCATGAACAGAAGCAGCATCAGCATGCCAAGCATCAGGGAAGGCCTCATCAGCTTGTGTCCCCATCCAAACAGCCACCATAACCTCTCCTTTTGTTTGGTTTTCTAGCCTATACCATTGTGGTGCCAAAGGACTATCAGGAGGGACTCTTGTGGGAACTTCATTCATGTCAAAAACCACTCTCCCTATGCAATCATCCCTCCCCAACATCTCCTTGTCCCTTACCAGCACTTCCAGTGTTGAGGACTGAATTTTTTCTTTGGAGAATGCAAAGACTTGGTTCCATTCTGGGTTTGCCCTCTTCTCAAAGTGCTTTGTTTTACCTTTGTAATTCCCTAGCCTGACTTGCACGTAAGGGTCGCAACTCGTTGTAACCGGGTTTAAGGGAAGGTCTCTTGCCTTCACCACCCTAACATAAAGGAAATGCATTTGTTCAACAAGATCATAAGTGCTCGTAACTCTGTCACTGGTTAGCCACCCTCCGCCACCACGGATTCCTCCATGAGGCCACCGTTCCCCGAGTTGGGGCTTTGTCTCTTTTGCTTTGTAGTCGTCTTGCTTGCTCATTCTGGACTGTTGATATGTGTTCTTTTTGTAACAGTACTCTGTGCGGTTTAATCACTTCAATGTGGAGAATACGACTTATGTAGTGCATACCCTCTTGATGACATTTTTTTTTTAAATTTGATGGTTATATAAACTCTCTCTGGGTAGTTAATATGCACTTCTTCTTGAAGCTTTAGTTGTGATTTGTTAAGTACAACTGTGAAATATTTCCTGTAAAAAAAGTTGCATGAAACAAGAGAGCTACATTTATTAATACTCCGTATGACGTAAACATAAAAATCATAAAAATATTTATAAATTATAAATATTCTTAAAAAAACTTAAAAAAGTAAGAATGTAGTATGCAGGAGATATAATACATTTTTCTAAGTTTTTTGGAGCAAAACTGTAATATCATTGATTTATATTGTTTGTGACTAGTTTGATAAAAGTTCATTAATATATACTCCGTACGTTTTATGTCTTATAGTTGAGATGAATATAACTACATTATTGTAGGCAATGAATGTGTAAATGCATTTCTAAACTAAACGGAAAATATATAAAAAAAAAATCTAGCACAAGAAAATAAAGACTATCGATGATATTAGAATTAATGCATAATAAAATTTAGGGAATTTAATAATTTTATTAATTTGGTTTATTCGATTCGGTTTTGAAGGATAAAAACCAAAATCGAACCAAACAACTACGGTCCCGTTCGGTTTTTTACATTCGGTTTCGGTTATTTAGCGGTTCAGTGTGTTTTGATTCAATTTTCGGTTTTTCTTATCTGGACCTAACTAGAAAAACAATTATTTGGAGAGTTTCTAAACTTTTGTTTGAGAGTCTCCGTTTCTCAGGGATGGATTACTAAGTTCAAAGTCTCAAACTATCACTAAAGGAGAAAGCATTTTGCACTAAAGAAGGTGAATTTATTCTTTCCAGTTTCGAGGTGAATTCTAAAACTCATTTAGAAAATTACAAAAAACATCACAATAGAAAGAATAGATATTTAAACATTAGCAAGAGGCATAGACCGCATAGTATTAACTTATGAGAAGAATGCATATGCAGAATAACTTGCAGGTTTGCAGTACCAACTCAAGAGGTAATAAGAGAAGTGCAAGAAGAAAGGGGGGAAAAATCTTTGTCTGTGAAAGAGAGAAACCTGATTAGTGCAGTCTGTGGGCAGAGAAAAGGGAAGACTCCACGAAAGATTTATTGATAAAGGAGAGATTGAGTTGGACTTTGAGAAGAACATGACACCACACTATATTTAAATACTAGGGAGTACTACAAAGAAGAGTTGCACAACCTCATGACACTTCATTCTTTCTTAAATATATCAAATTAAGTACCAATAAAGTATGTTTTTTGATCATTCATATGATACCAATAAAGTGATTGTTCCCATTCGCTGACTCAATTGAACCAGTTGAAAGTGATGAAATACTTATTGAAACAGTTGAATTAGTTGAACATGATGAATTATAGAGAAATTAAATTTAAAATATATTTTATTAAAGAATAAAGAAAACATTACATGAAAAACAACTAAAATGATTTTCTACAATAACTTCAGCCAAAAAATAATTTCAAGTTTACTTATTTTGATTATTACACAGTTCGGTTTGTGAAATAAAATTACACGTTCGGTAAAAGAGTCAGGCCGATAAGCTGAAAGTAGGGATTACCTAATTAATGAGCTTATATATAGGTAATAAAAGATTTATTTCAAGCAATTAAATGTCAGAGTAGATAAATTAATAAATAAATATCATTCTTCCCATCCGTCATCTCAAAGAAACAAGCCAAGGGCTTAGAGAAATTGAAATTTGAGAATCTTGAAGCGAATAAAGCCCAGAAGGTGTACTCCCTGAACTAAGAATATGATTGCTAAAAGCACATTAAAGCATGATGATAAAAGGAAAACAAAGTCTAAGGCATCTTATTTTGTTTCACAGCTTTGGTCCAAGTTGCGAACAGTTGACTCTTAAAAAAAATTTGCTAGTAAAACTACTGTAAAAGCACATAAGATGCCTTTCTTTGTGATGACAAAAGATGTATGGTGCTTCTGAATTCTAAAGGCATTTTGGATTGGCATAACCTCCGGGCTTTACAATCCGAGTCTTTGCTTTTAAATATTCTTGGCTTACTGGCAATGTGCATGATTCTGATTCTCCTCTCTAATGTCCTTTCCTAATCTTTATTTGGTGAACCCCAACAACAATGTAACTCAATAAAGGGGAAAATAACTCTAAATACCTAAAATTTTGGAGAAGTGTGAAACGAATAATCGAAATTTGAACATGGAAAATTAAATGATAAACTTTACATTAGATGATTTCAGCACCACGACTTATACTTTTTTCATTTTTAATAGTTGCAACCATTTCACTTTAACACATAATTTACTTTGATTACATTTCCATGTATTAAACAATTCTGCAATTAAAAACTATCATCATCATCATCATCATCACTACACTGCCGTAAAGGCTCCCACTTACGGTGGGGTAAGGGGGGTCGGATGTACATAGTTTTACCTCTGTACTAAAGCGAGACTGTTTTTGAATGATCCATAGTGAAAATCGCGTCGAAAATTGCATCGACTGACTGTCGCTTCATAACAAAGAAACACAGACAGTCTAGTGAGGCAATTTGCTTTATTCCATCATATTCTCATACCAAAAAATAGTGAGGACGTTTTTACTTGGACTGTAATATGTCCCAGACCAGATCAGACCAGACCAGACTTGTATAGTTATAAAAATACAAAGAAACCAGGCCAGACCAATCTATACCAGACCAGATCATACCAGACCAGCAAATTACAGTTCAAGTAAAACATCATGATAGGAAAATTTCTGCAATTAAAAATACGTAGTATATTACTCCGTATAAAATTTGTCTAAGAGTAATTTTAAAATAAGACTTTTTTATAATTTACCTAAAAGTTAATTTATTATAATAAGGTCGTGAGTGATGGCTGGTACACCCAGCCTTTAAATTAGCTCCTTCTAAATATAGGGAAAATTCCCTATGACTAAAAACATTTGAGAATTTCAAAAAAGGATTGTCATGTTTTTATATCCTAAAAAGGAGTAATCACCGTCAAGTTTAGAAAATATTGTCATGTTTAAAGTCTAATACTGCCAAGAAATGACAGTGATAACTCTATTTATTAGACAATAAAAGCATGAAAGTTCTGATTGGAATGAACAAACATATTTAGTCCTATTTAGAACAATATCCCTCAAATATATCTCATTTTTCTTGATGACTGTATTGCTTCACTTTTTTTTATGGAAACTGTATTGCTTCACTTGAAATGAGCTCCGGTAAAATGAGCATGTTTCAAATAAGGTATTCTAAAATACCTTCATTTTGAGAAGAAGAAAAAAGAGTTTCAGTTTGTTTCAATACTCACGTGTCCTTAATTTTAGTCCCGGTTAAAAGTGAACTACTCATGTGCCCATTTTACCGTTTTACAATTCTAATTTTGTTGTTCTCAGTATTGAACAACCCTACTTTCATAGTTTCATACCTCATAAATTTCAAATCACTTTGATGTTGACCTTGCATGCATTCATGGTTTAGTGTAACACCCCACCCTTCATGTACTAGAGCTGGCTACTCCAGTTGGGGGCGTAGATCACCTAATAGAATGGGGCTGTCACAAGAGAGATCTCGAGTTCAACTCCAAGCAATGATTTGTGACATAACTCACTCTTTCTTCATCAAAGTTTGACCAAAGCTCAAGTTATATCTTTTCATATAACTGGTCGTTTATGGGGACCATCAGAGATGAGATGTCGTCTTTTTTTAAACGATCATCTTTGCACCAGGCTTCTCTGATCTCACTTGCTTCTTCGATCTGGCTTCGCACCTGATTGACTGTCGCCAACGCTCACCACTCGTCCCCTTCTCCTCTAGCACGGACGCAGCAACTCCATTGACGTAGTTACCTCTTCTCCCTCTGTCTTTTTTTTTCACTCTTTTCCTTTTTCTCTTTTTCATACGCAATTTTGCTATTTGAGATTGTGATTTTTGGAGACAATGGAAGCCTACTCGTTGCTGAGAAATCCTTACGTACTGCTATTGATCTCAAATGACTTTTATATTAAACTCAAATGAGTATACACATAAAAGAAATGAACATACACAAATAAATATTGAGCATATTAGAAATGAGTTTTATGCTCAACTCAAATGAGTACAACGTCCAAAATCAATGAGCATATACAAATGAGCTTTTGAATTTGTTTATATTCATTTGGTGGATTATGTATGCTCATTTGGCACAGCTCTGTGCTCATTTTAAAATGTTGCACATTTCAAACATATCATACTACATTAAATTCACATATTATTGAAACTAATTGGAATTGATTATAGACATAATTTAAGAAATTTCTATAAAAGAAAAACAATAAAAATGAAGTAAATTGGAAGATATGAAGCAGGGATCATTAATGCTCATTGTTAGGGTCCTAATACTCAAAAGAACATGTTTGATGATCACCAAAATTGCATCAATGTTCATTTAAGAGAAGTCGTGATTTTCACAAGAATTATTACAAAATTGCCACCGGCTGTACGGTGCCGCTTGTACAGTCGGTTATATGATATACGCTTCCAAACGAAGGTGGTATTATTTATTTTTCTCTTAGAACATTATAGTTGTGTAGTAGCAATTACACACAATTCTTTTCTACTAAAAAAGTTAATCAAGTCATATAATAAAAGAAAAATTGACAATAATAACCTCCTTTGATCAATCTTCTCATAATAATATCACCTTTACATAATCACATAATATCTCACTTTTACACCCATCATCTTTCATTGGACCCTGACCGGTTGATGAATTACTATATCAGGTTTTTTGCGTTTTCTTTGTAAACCTTACATAAATAATCTCCCGTTTCACAAATCTGCTCAAAAGAGTCTCATGCATGTTTCATTTTCCTCTTTAAAATATTTCTTTCTTTATTTTTATCCCTAGACCTACACTTTTTATATCTTTTTCATATTTATTGTATTATTCTATTTCTCACTCTATTAAGAGAGCTTTTTGTACAATTTCTTTCCCAAAGAGATTTTGTTGTCATTTTCTTTTCTTACCGTATTTTTATTTCATTTCCCTTTTAATGTTTATCTCCTTTTTTTATAAGGTATGTTTATGTCCTTAATCCTTCTCTTTTTATTAAAGATCTTTTTTCCACTCTAATTTTTGTTATATTTTATGTTTAGTTTCAATTTTCCCTTTTTTCTTCTTGTTACTTTTTATGTTTTCTTCATCTTTCTTGTTATCTTAATTCCATCACCAATATATTTTTCTTGTTTCTCCATCTATATAATATAATAAAGCAAACCAATAAAGACCTCTTTGAAGAAGTTGTTGACATGTGTCAACACTATTTATTGAAAAAATTAACGTGTCAACGCTATAACAAATTCTACTCTCTATTCATATATACGAAAGTGCACAACATCACAAATTCTACTCTTTATTGAAGTATGTACTCCATTTATCTAAAGTGCACAACATCACATCATCATGGACTCACACATGTCTATACAACATTTATAAGAGAAAAGGTAGAAGCAAATCTATTTAACTTTTAACCATTTATAAATAGATAGCGGTCACTATCATTAATTCATTATATTGATATTGCTTACAACTATTAGAGCATCTTCAATGCTACAATATGCACGGTGCACATGTGGCATGAGAGATATAGATACAAAATATTAATGTTATGACATTTCTCTCTCCTTCTTTCCACGGTCTTATGTGTTTTTGATAGGTTTTTGTCTGCAATGTCAACCACAATGCCTGCATATAGACATTGTGCTTGACATTGTGAAGAAAAACTTACCAAAATGATGTAAGATCCTTCAAATAAGTGATTAAATGTATAAAGTAAGATTCTATTGATTGTTTTTAATTGGGTATTTCTCATGCTACGTATGCACCGTTAACGTTTTAGCATTGAATTGAAGATGCTCTTAGGTGAAAAATAATATCATACTCCCTTTGTGGCTCCATCCTAGCTTAAAGTTCTCATTTTTCTTTTTTGGGCATCTTAACTAAAATGTTAAGAATTTTTTATCTGAACCAAATATTTTATCTACAAACTCTAAGTGATTATGTTCATAAAAAGTACTAAAACCCCCAATAAATGAACACCAACTCTTGCTTCAACACATACTTCAAATTGTTGTTAAAATAACCTTAACATCTACATTTTTTATAGATACATGGGAAATGATTAATATTTTGATACTATGATCTACCAA